TTTTCCAAGTAAATTACTCATCCTTAAAGTTTACTACACTTTGACAAAGGATATGCCCCTTTCCCTGCACATAAAGCAGGTTGTAGAAAGTGGCATTTAGGGGCAAGTAGGTAAACTTGCCCAATTTCTTTCCTTTTGCCCAGTTTTTTTCCCTCCATCTCTTGTCTCTACCTCTCCCTCTCTGGCCCCTCCTTCTCTACCTTCTCCATCCTCCTTTGTTTTTGAGGCATTTGTTTGGAAAAAACATCGTTGAGATGCCCAAGAACCTGGAACTTTTTTTTTTTAATAAAGGAAAGGAAATTCAAACTCCTACATTGTTCTCTGTAACTCTTCAATTCCAAAATGTTTTTTTTTTTTTTAAAAACATGTTCTGATGGGGAAATTGATTTGTAAATGTGGATAGCCTAGGACATTGCTCTGAGCTGTGGTTATAAAGATGATGCCTCCATATACCTAGAGGGCTAATGAGAGCAGTTAGTTGATTGTTTACACATATATTTTTTATGTCAAAAAAAGAAAAAAAAAACGTTTCAAACAGAGCATTGTGATATTGTCAAAGAGGGAAAAAGCCCTGAAAATACATGGAAATGTAACCTAGTTTAGGGTGGTATTTTTTTGAAGATACATCAACACCTGATACCTTTTTTAAAAAATAATTTAAAAACAACATATCGTGGAAAAAAAAAAAAGAAAAAAACAGTATTGACATGTATACATCCCAGCATGTATATCCTTCCAATTATTTAGGGATTTTCCTCCAGAGAGATTTGATTTTGGTTTTGGTTTTGGTAAAAAGGTTAAAATGTAACTTCCTGGCAATAATTTTGCCTTATCATATAAAAAGGAAATAGAAGAAAAAAACTCTCAGGGTTGGATAACTTGGGAGGCATCTCATTCTGACTTCCATTTCTAAAAGTACCAGCATATGGAGTGTTTTAAAAACAGATACATGTCATATAATTTATCTGCACAGACTTAGACCTTCGTGAAATATAGGTTAGTCCCTTTTTACAAAGAAAAGGCAAACATTCTTTCAAATCTTGGAGAATAGTTTAAAGCTCAAGTGAAGTTTCATGTTTCAATGCCAAGTTCTTATATTAAAAAATAAAATCTACTTATGACAGAAAGGTGCATTAATTTAAAAAACTTTAAAGAACCCTCTTCAGATACTTACATGAAGATTATTTCCCCTGTTACTGAAAAGATAGATGTTGGTGTGTGTATTTGTTTATTATTCTCTGGTTTTTGGTCTGGCCTTGCCCTCAGGGCCAAACATTGATTAATAAGAGAACCTTCTAGCCTTTTTGGTTTAATGGCGTTTTATACCAGTGTGTCAAATTAGATTTTCTAGGCACACTGATATACTATCAGTAAATTGCATTAAAAATTCATCTAAACCTTCTGTCTGTTGACTTCTTAGTCCTCAGACAGGGGCTTTTGTATTTTAGAATATTTGAATTTGAGGTATTGGTCATCCCTCCCTTGTTTTTGATTAAAGAAGCTGAGCCTGGGATACTTTTTAAAGTATCTGTTCAGTGAAAACAGAATTGTTTTCCCATTGAATATGAATAAAAGTATCTATATTTTTCATTGTATTTTGGTTATCAGCAGTCACCAATAATGTTTTTCCCTCCCCTCTCCCACTCCTTATTTTTAATTATGCCAAATATTCTGAATAATATACTTAAGCTTCCATTCCCCCAACCCTACTAGGGAAGGGGGTGGGTGTATGTGTGTGAATGTATGTGTATGTATGGTCCCATCTCACCCCCACCCCCATTTTGGGAGCATGACCTTTAAAATGGGGGGGAAAAAGTTTGGGAAGTTTTGACTATTTCTGAAAGCAGAGGGGGAAAAGATCTCAAATATCCTGGAAATCTGTGTGAAGGAAGAAAAGGTATTACATAATTTTTCAGCTTATGTTATCTATAAACATGATGGAAGTAAAAGTTTGGCTGAATTTCAACTTGACTATTGGAAAGTTACAAATCCGATTAATTCCATTCAAAAGTGGTTTTGGTTTTGTCTCAACTATTGTACCGTGGAAGATATTAAGTCTATTAAATACATTATTTTGAACAGATGAGAAATCTGATTCTGTTCCTGAATGAGAGGCAAAACTGGTTTGACCATGATTTTGAAAACAAATTTGCTTGACCCAGTTTCTTTAGTTGTTTTCTTCAACTGTCCATAGGAAACATAAGGATTTGAAAACATCATCAGATCTAAATGTTTAAAGCCAGGGCAGTTAGCACAAATTTGTAAGTAGGACTTCTGTTAGCTTATGCCATAGACATCACCCAACCACTTGTATGTGTGTGTGTATATATAATATGCATATATAGTTACAGTGCTAAATGGTTACCAGCAGGTTTTGAGAGAGAATGCTGCATCAGTAAAGTGTCAGTTGCCACCTCATTCTCCCTGATTTATAGGTTCCTGACACTGTATTCCTCTCTCTTGTTTTTGCCCCCCATCGGGTGTACCTTGTCTATGTACAGATATTTTGTAATATATTAAATTTTTTTCTTTCAGTTTATAAAAATGGAAAGTGGAGATTGGAAAATTAAATATTTCCTGTTACTATACCACTTTTGCTCCATTGCATTTACTTCTAATTTCTGTACCTTCTGAGCATATCTAATTGTGTATAACAGACATTTTACCTCCACTTTATCTTAGAGGTTCTCTGTCTCAAAATCACTATTGATTTCATAAGCTACCAAAAAACTTTCTCAGAGTTTTTGAAGAGATGCTTGAAAACACTAGACTAGAAACTAGAGAATAAAAAAAATAAATAGGGAAATCCATAAGGCCTGATTTAAAAAAAAAAATAGAACTAAACAGTTACACAAATATTGGTGGCACCCAGCCATCAAAAGAGTTGAGCTTCATGTACCCTGACTCCTCCTGACAGGAGAGGTAAGTGGGTTTGAGCTCAATAGTCATCGAGGGAAGTTGGTAAGAAGCTGTTTAGATCCAAAGAATAATCTCTTAAACCAGGCTCCCCACCATCCCACCCCAACCCAGTTCCCACAATGTTATAGAGCAGGGTCAGCATGGGCATTAGTGTACCCAGAGATTTCCCAATGCCTGCCAATCCAGAAAGTGAATCAATATTGTTTAAAGGTTAAAGTCCCTATTATTTCTAAAACCAAGTGGCTCATGCCTGTAATCCCAGCAACTCGGGAGCCTGAGGCAGGAGGATCTCAAGTGAGGCCATCCTGAGCAACTTAGACCCTAAGCAACTTAGCAAGACCCTATCTCAAAAGAAGAGCTGGGATGTGGCTCAGTGGTTAAGTGTCCCTGGGTTCAATCCCCAATACCAAAAGGCAATTCTATTTGTAAAATTTTTCCTATCTCCACCTGAAGAGAGAATTATTTTCCTTTCCCTTTAATGGTTTAGAAGACTGAGGATAAATTTTCTCCTGTGCTACAATCCTGCTAGTTATGACAAGTAGGTAGCTGGCAGATAGAATTCATCAAGAGAAAGGATTAGGGAGGATGAGCATCTGGAAGTTGTAAGTGGGGTGAACAAGTTGTACAAGGTCAAGGAACACTTTAGAACAAGGGGAGTTAGGAGGAAGTTGAAATTAAAAATAGCTGATGATATGGGTCGCTAGCCAGTTTTTGAATCTTCAGTTTTTGGTGTTGCCTTGCCTTTGGACTAAGTCATGTCCTCTTTACCCAGGAGAATGGAGAGCTCAGATTGTTCCTGTTTCTGGAATTAGGTGTTCTGTTTAGTTTCCAGAGAAAAAGAATTAGTTTTACATCTTTTTTTTTCTTTGTAGTTGTAGATGGACAGAATGTCTTTATTTTATTTGTTTATGTGGTGTTAAGGATTAACCCTCACACATGTTAGGCAAGCGCTCTGCCACTGAGCTACAGCCCTAGTCCAGTTTTATGTCATATATATATAAGTTACAAGTTCGTGACTAAGGATGTGAACTGGTATTGTTACCACTTTATAGCAGTGGATCTCTTTTCAAATCTGTGCCTAAAAATTGAACCTAACTATCCTGGACATTTTCTTTATCATACTCAAAGTCATTTCTGATTAGGAAACATGCTTTTCAGTATCTCAGTTTCTTAGGCACTATTCTCCCAGACAAGCATCCTTAGTATGATAAGGCCAGTGCCTCAAAGACGTCAACAGTGATGCTAAACTGGAATTTTTGTTTTTATTATTAAAGATTACTCTATAACTTAGCTCTTTTTTAGTTTTTAAGTGACTTCACAGCATAATCATTTTCAAGGGCTGAGTGGAATGGAATGGGGAATTCCTCAATGAGGAAATACTCTACCATTCCAAGGGAGAGGGACTGCCAAGTGTTCTGTGGTTCTGAGAGGCAAGGTGAGCATTCCTGGACACTTTGGAAGATTTCATTATCCTGTGTATGGTATTTCTCATCTGTAGGAATCCCTCTAGAGTTTCAATTGCCTTGTGAACGCTCTTAAATCGGAGATTACTTCAGCCAGGGTTGGAAGACTGCGGGAGTATGACACCTGAAGGAGTCATTGGGGTACTCTACCACTTCTCACTGGCTATTTCTCACCTATTCACCCACTTCTTTTTTTTTCTTCTTGTTTTCTTTCTACTCACCATCCAACTAGAGTGATGAACAGCTACCATAGGTTTTGATTACTTAACCCAGCTGGGTATTTAATTATAGTTGTCTCAGTTTTGGTTTTGGCTTTTTGGTGATATTGGGGATTGAACTCAGGTGCTCTACCACTGAGCTACATGCTCAGCTCTCCTTTTTTCTTTTTCTTTTCTTTTGAGACAAGTTCTTGCTAAGTTGTCCCGGCTGGCCTCAAACATGCTATCTTCCTACCTCAGCCTCCTGAGTACCCAGGATTATAGGAGTTTGCGGCTGTGCCTGTTTCATCATTTTGAAATGCCTTTAGAGGTGATTCAGAAGACAAACGTCTATTCAGATCCTCAACTTATGGGGTAGGAGGTACAAGAGCAAAATAACCATATGTTCTTATTGCCAAGAGCTATGAAAGGAACTTTTTAATTCATGTTATGTGGGGCACAGGAGATTGTTTTTCTGGTAATGGAAGCCAGAGAGTCCTTTCAGTTTTCCTGCTTCCCCTCTTTGAACCTTCACTTCTTCATCCTCTTCTCCCTTATCCTGAAATTGTTGCTTCTGCTTGTTACATTTCTATGTTCAGTTGCAGATGGTGTCTGTGGGAAGTAAAGCTTGGTCAAAAAAGAGTTCTGGTATCCAAGAGAACGTAGATAAGGCTTGCAGGGTTGTGTCCCCCCCCCCCCCCCGCTCCCGTGATTAATCATTGGATGCCAAAATGCTTTGACCACTGGATGGCTCTCATATCGCTTATTTCAAAAATTAGTGGTCCAAGTTTGCAATAAAGAGGCTAATGTGATGTTAGTCCTTAATACCCTCTAGAAGGGTAATTATTGGTGAAGGCATCTCATCATACAGTCCTTAGCTTTACAGCATGCTTCTCTAGAGAAGCATGAGAAGACATAGCCATAAAATAAGTTCATTTAGATATAGGTTCCCTAGGATCTAGAAGTAGATTTTTGATGTCTTGCTCTGGCATAGTTGTAAACTAAAGAGAGTGTTGATAGTTCCAAAGGAATAAGGGCTATTTTATGCCTCCTTGAGGGAGGGCAGCATGAAGAAGCCTTTAAAAAGTGATGCAAGCTAAGTGAAGAACAAAGCCTGGATCTTGGAGGGTGTCTTTTCTCTACCTGAGGGGGCTATCTGATGGGGTTGTCTCTCCCTCCTATGTCTTAGAATTTCAACTATACTTGATGAGCAACACCCTTGGTGTAAGGATCACCTTGCGGACAAAAAAACTAACTGTACCATGCTAATGCAATTTTAAATGCTTTCCTGCCTGGAGAAAAACAGGATAAGTTTTAAAGCTTTCAGAAAGTTTAGGAGCCTGGTCTCTGATTAATTCAGGAACTTCTGAGATTGACTTTGCACCAATATTTGTGATTTCTTTAAGAGGATCAAGGACACATAAAATAAAGCCATATAAGGAGGTACAAATAAGGGTAAAAAGGGAGAACTAGAGCAATTTGGTAGCCAGGTTGCAGAAAGAGAGGAATATGGGATGGAAAGAAAAATTATGGTTGGGCTAGTGAAATTTAGGGGATGATTGCTCTAGAGGTTCACAGTTTACTCCAGTGAGGTTCCATTAAGGCATCTCTGTGAGTAAAGAGTTTCCCTTGATTCACAGGAGTATTACCTTTAGGGTTAGAGGATGGGCCTAGAACCCTTAAGCTGGGCCATAATTTGAAGACATTTTTTCTACAGAGGCTAGAGAATGTAAACAATATTAAGCAAATAACTTATGATACATTTGCTTAGCACTGTTAGCTACATAGTTGAAGAGGATAAGGAGTAAGAAGGAAAGAACATGATAAAATTGTGTTTTTCAAGTTTTAAAACTCTCCAAGTAGATTTATGTATTTTATGTCAACCTAGAAACTAATATTATTCTTCATCCCCTTATTTTAGATGAATGAGGGCAGTGCATAGAAGAGCAGACAAACCAGAATTTGTGAATTTGAGTTCCAGAATGTTTGCGCTACAAAAGGACATTAGTTTGTTTAGTTCAATGCCATCTTTGGCCAGTAAAAAAATTTTAGAAAGGTGGAGAAACTGGTGTTTGGAGAAAGAAGGAAGAAAAGGGGAACTAACCTTAAGTATTACCATGTGTCAAGCTCCTGTCTCACTGTCTCTTCTTTTTGGCTTTGGGGAGGAGGAAGACAGGAATGGTGTGTCTCTTGCCACCATGGGTTCTTACAGGTATCTATAGGCTTAAAATAGGAGAAAACAGTAGTGAGTGTGTGGGCATTGATTGGATATTTGAAGGGCTTTACTTTTACTGTCTTGATTCTTAGGCACCTTGAAATCAAGGGCTGGAAAGAAAAGACATCCCTCTTATTGTCCTGAGCAATATGTAGGAGATAAAAGGAAGTGGTAGACCACTTTTTCCTTTCTAACCACACAGAACTAACCTAGAGGAAATGAAGAATCAGCATTTGAGATTGAGGTTAATCGAAGGAACCAGACAATTGAAAGGTAAATAACTTCTCCATTCCTAGAGACTATACAATGAATCAGAGGCAGGTATGATAGGGAGCGAGATTACTTTTGGCACTGAGATTTATTTTCATTCTAGAAAGTCAAGTTATGACCCAAGAATATAGGATTTAATCTTAGAGAACAAATAAGGCTTCTAATCCTAAGGCGTCCTCAGAGAAAATAGTGGAAAATAGTGTTTATACACTATGAATCAAGGAGATAAATTCATTTGGTGACTGTGCTTCCCCCCCCCCCCAATTTTTGTTTGTAACATTTTGAAGTCCTGAAATTGAATTTGTGATTTTGAAAAGTGTTAAGTTTGGGGCAGGTGGGAGTCTGAAAACACACAGATTTAGATTGTATTCCTCTTGGTTGTTTGGTATAATATCCCAAGAGTTATACCATGGAGACTGCTTCAGTGGGGAGGGGTAATATCATTAGCAGAGTTATGTCTTGAGTAATTATATCTAGGGGTGGGAGGAGGTTGAAGGGGGGTCCCACTTTTAGGGAGCTTCTGAGCCTAGTGTGAGAGATGAGTCTTATGCCTGGGTCGGGAGTGGGGAATCTATATTTTTAAGTTAGCATATTAAGTCAAGTTATAAAGTAAGAGTGTACTAACAAGAGGAAGCCAAATCAAATAATTAGAAAAAGTGGAGTTAATAAGAAAAAATTCTTTGAAAGTGAGAGAAAGGTGACCAGAGGGAGGAGACTTATGGAAATATATTTTGGGGAGAGGGACATGAGTTGACCTAGGATGGTACAGGAAAGGGTGTTAGGAAATGAAGTTGGAGGTGTGATCTTCTTGGCCTGAATTGAGGAATTGGAGCTGTGTGGGTTTTTTGTTGTTTGTTTGTTTGTTTTGTGCAGGGGATCCAGGGCCTGATATATGCTAGGCAAATGTCCCAGTCCCTCTGAATGAGGAGTTGAAATTTGGTTTGGTAAGCAGTAACAGAGAAGTAAACATGATGAGATGAAAATTATTCCAAGGACTTTGCAACTGCAGAGTTCTGTAGAATATTGTTGTTATTGCCCATACCTGAGGCAGTAAAGCCTACAGTAGACTAGGAAAGGAGGAATCAGAAGAAATGGAAGGGGGTGGTCCATAGGAATTAGGCTTGCTCAAAGTTTAGATGTGAGGGGAGAGACAAAGATGGCCTCCAGATGATCCCAGGACACATTTGTGCTGCTGATAATGATGGAAGCTTTGGTAAGAGACAGCTTTGTTTTTAAGGAATAAGTGTTTATTAGCCAACTGATGTGGTGTGCCTGTCTTCAGTGTTGCAGAGTCTAGAAGGGGCCCTGTCCCTGGAGAACCGTGGAGCATGTACTGTGTCCAGATGGTAACCTGCACCCCACCCATTTCAGAGTGGAGAACCAGACAAGAGAGTCCCATTGCTGGGGTGTGCCCACAAACTTCTAAGGATGCTAGTCAACTTTGGATCTGGGAAAGAAAATTCAGTTTTTTGGTTTTGTTTGTCAGTTTCTTCCCCTTTAATGCCTTGAAAATGGGATATGACTAGCCTGTGGCAGCATGTGCCTGTGGATGCACAATTCTCTGGCTTGATTCTTGGAAGGCCTTTTCCTGTCCCTCCCTGGGGGTCATTTGCATCTCTGGTTCCTGCTCCTAGAGCCATAAAGTGGGAGCCCCCATTTATTAATTGGGTTGGGACTAGGGAGGGGGTCGGCAGGGGACTCTTTAGTACGGCAGGCGGGGGTCTTCCCGAATGAGCCCATTAGCCAGCCCCAGCGGCAGCTGAAACGGGGCTGCAGCCAAGTCCTCTCTGTTTCAAAAACCCTCCATCGCCTGCAGCAGATCAGAACAAGGCCTGCGGGAGCCCTTAGCTTCTGATTGCAGCTGTGAGGAAGGACAAAACAATTTATAGGAAGCCAAGTAGCTCCTGTCTCACTGTCTCTTCTTTTCGACTTTGGGGAGGAGGAAGACAGAAATGGTTTGTGCCTTGCCATTATGGCTTCTTATTTATACCTATAGGCCTAAAGTAGGAGAAAATAGTGAGTGTGTGGGTATTGATTGGATATTGAAGTCAATGCTGTGGATTATTTACATGTCCTTTGCTCTATTCATTTCATCTACACAGTTATGTTAGATTAGCAGCTACTGCTTACATGGGGCTCCCTAGGGCAAAGTTGAGGGGGTGCCCAATCTGAGATGGGGGCATGCTTATCAAACTCCATCCTGCCCCATACCTGCCTTTTGTTTTATCAAGATTCGGGGTCAGAGTATAGATTCTCTCCTTACTTAATTTCCTCTTTATTTATTTATTTATTTTAGTTTTTGATGGATCTTTATTTTATTTATTTATTTATATGAGCTGCTGAAAATTGAAGCCAGTACCTCACACATGCTAGCCAAGTGCTTTACCACTGAGCCACAACCTCAACCCACTTAATTTCCTCTTACTAGAAAGGGTTTGGCACTTAAAGGAAGGCCTCCTACTGGGTCTCACCTGTCCCTTCAATTAAACCTGCAGGAGGAAGGCAGGCATCTCCAGGGGACCTTCTCTAAAGTGGTGCAGAGAGGTGTAAAGGGCAGGAATATTTCACTTCCTAATGCATGGATACTTGACGTGACTTCTCTGTTAGAGAATCATACATTGCCAGAGCTAGAGAAGAGGTCAGGTAATCCAGGCTCTCAGTTTACAGAACAGGAAACAGATTTAAGGATGGCACAGTACCTCACCCACAATCTTTTTTTTTTTTTTTTAAAACTACACCTCAAGTTTGCCTCTCTTTTTTTTAAGAGAGAGAGAGAGAGAGAGAGAGAGAGAAAATTTTTTAAATATTTATTTTTTAGTTTTCGGCGGGCACAACATCTTTGTTTGTATGTAGTGCTGAGGATCGAACCAGGGCCGCACGCATGCCAGGTGAGCATGCTACCGCTTGAGCCACATCCCCAGCCCTCACCCACAATCTCACAGTTGGTTTAACCATACTAGGACTAGATCCAAGAGGCCAGAATCTTAACCTATGTGAATATAGAGCCTCCAACTTTAAAATCACCTATTCCTGAAAACCCTCAGCTTCCTCAGGAAAGGAAAGAAAGGCTGTGAGATTTTGAAGGGGGAAGGACAGAGATTGGAAGGTAAAGGTAGGTTTAAAAGTCATTAATAGAAAACATTTTTATATTTTTACCTTAAAGGATAACATCTAATGACATGCAAATTAAGCACTTTTTATTAGAGCTCTTTTTCATTAGGAAGCAAATGGCAGCCACAGCCAAAGACCCTGATGCTCTCAGAGTTACTCCAAATTTCAGAACACTTAGCCACTATCTCTGTAGGTTGGAGGAAAAGAACCTCAAAGGCAACATGAGGAATTAATCCTAAATCTCAACTCAGACCCCTTTGTATATTGAAAAGAATCATCCTTCTGACCTTTTAGGTTTTAAGCAAGCGGTATCAGAACTAAGTTACCACAGGGAACGGGTTTGTGGCATTTATTTTATTTTCCAAAAATAAGGGGCTAAATGAATCAAAATGAAGGTAGAAAGAAAACATATTTCATCTGCTAGAAAATTAAGGTAGAAGGGGGGTCTCTGAATGACACTAGATTAGAGAACTCAAAACAAAATAAGATACTCTCTGAGATTACAGGAAAGTTGTGGGGGTAAAGGGAGCATTACCTCTCTCCTTATTTTATTTTTTTAGTGTTGACTTGTTTGGAAAGTGGTGCCTCATGGTGGCCTAAACCCAACATGGTGTGCTTAGTTGTCTAATCTGCAGGGCAGGTTCTGTAATTCATCTCACTCTGGGCTAACTAAGTCTCAGTTCCCCTCCTGGAACCCTCCTGGATACATCCACAGACCCATGCTTTCTCTGAGCATATGAAATCAGGAGCCACTGATGAGCAGAGAGGACAATGCTGAAGGGAGAAAGGCACAACTGGACAGCTTGGAGATAAAGAGTTATGGATATAGCTGGCAGGGGGTGCAGGGGATCTGCAAAATGAACATTGCGGATGACAGACAGATCCCAGTACATATTCTTTACATTTTGTCCATCATGCCCTAATTGATAGCATAGGGGAAATGTGGTATTGCTTCCCATGCAAATTTGTATCTGCCCCAGGAATATATGATAGACCTACTTGCCCAAATTGCATCAAGTCTGTTGTCTTACAAGTCTTTCTGGGTTTTTTTAATTTTTATTTTTTTATAGTTGTAGATGGACACAATGTCTCTATTTGTTTATTTTTATGTTGTGCTGAGGATCGAACCCAGTGCCTCAGCATGCTAGGCAAGCACTCTGCCACTGAGCTACAGCCCTAGCTCAAGTCCTTCTGTTTTATAGTCAAGATCCTTTTGTATCTCAGAGCCCTTCTCAGAGAAGCTGTGATGGACAAGAGAGTCTCAAATCTAAGCTGGTGATCTGATCAAAAATTGAGTGATCTCCAAAATATCTTCTTGCCTAAAATTTATATTAAATTTTAACCATTAACCTTTGTTGCCTTTTATAATTCTGGGTTCATAGCTTCTATTTTTGTTGAATTCTCTATCTATGAATACAGGGACAATGGTTTTGTCTTTATCAACCTGGGAGACAGTTCCTGGGAGACAGAAATCTGGAAACGTAACTCTCTGGGAACATGCTTAAAATTTATCTAAAACCTTGTGGGGAATTCAGGTTTCAAGAAATTGGAGAAATGGCAGCCACCACTCTCACTGTTATCTGCCAACCTCATGCTTCCTGTGCTAAAGATGAAAGACCCTCT